GGTTGCCGTTTGACTATGGCAGCCGAAAATGGATTGGAGGAGAGGTTTTGCTAGCCCTAGCTTATGATGTGCCAATCCCAGGATACAAAACCAAAAACACAATTAGTCTTCGCCTCTGGGAAGCGAAAGCTCGAGCTGAGGATTTCGATCTATTTTTGTTTAATGATGGACAATATGAATCTGCAGCACAGTTGCATTCTCGAGCTCAACAGGTATCTATAATACATTCAGATAAAAATGAGTATCTAGAAAGAACAGTTTCTCAGGTTAAATATTAATCGTCAGCATAGGTTTCAGTAATATGAGTAACAGAACTACAAGGCTAAACTTAAAAGAGTGATAAACATTTTGAGCTATGTTCTACGAACAAACAACACATGACAATATATGTAGAATGTTTGCTTAATGCTCTGCTGTATGATATCTGTGCACTCTCAGATTTGTGCAGTTCTATATCCTGGGGATGCAACTGAAGACGGGAAGCTTTTACGATTGAAACAACAATTCTTTCTCTGCAGTGCGTCTCTTCAGGTTGGCTACTTGCCTTTGATTTCTTTTTTAACATCTGTTTCATGGCCCCATTTTGTTAAGTTCTATGTAAGATTCAATTTCTAAATTGTTTATAATTATTAAATCATCAAAAGAAGCTATAAATGCTATATGATCTCAATGGAAGCAGAAATTATCAGTCATCTATCAAGACTCCTCTTAGGTTTCTCCAAAGTAGAGGCAGTTTACCTATTATTTGGGCCAACTGGTCACATAGGCTAAAGTTCCAGCTACTACATGTAAGTAATATACACAGCATCTTCCTACTTGACAGAATGCTTGGGGAGAGCATTTAGAGAGATGTTCGCTCTGATATGACACGAGGGTTTGTGCATTCTTGTGGTAAGAATAATGTATTGGACGAATATGATAATCTAAATCATTGATGGTTCCAAGGTCTTGGCTTAGTCCTATATGCAATAGTCGACTTACTTTCCTCTTTGGTTTGGTGTCACCAGTTCATGCTACTTCAAGATTAACACCAAATGTACATTCTTATCAGAATGTTGCTTCTCATTTCGAGCAATGAACACCAATTTTGTAATGGTGTTCCTGAAACATAATGAGACAATTTGTTTATTTAAAGAATTTAGTTTCAATTGAGTTGTGTTCAAGAAACCTGTAACTGTTAATCTAGAAAGCAAGAAACATATTCTAATTTCATGATGAGAAGTTGAGGGTCTTGTAGATGCTCTAAGTACCCATTTCCAGTGGTGCTTTTGAAGGTTTAATTGTTTCAAATTCAGATTTTCTGGCGATTTACAAATGTAATGAGCAGTATTAACTGTGCCATCATTTTACTTTGTTGGTTCTAATCTCGGGACCGATTACAGGACCTTATTTTCAGATTCAAGGAGAGAAAGACTGGAGAGAGCCCAAGGCATTGGTCCGAGTTCCCTAAAAAGGTTGCTGTACAATTGAATGATACTCATCCTACTCTTGCAATTCCAGAGCTAATGCGATTACTAATGGATGACGAAGGACTTGGATGGGATGAAGCCTGGGATGTGACAACAAGGTGTCTCATTATGCATTTCTAGAACACATTCAGAGGCTTTTGCAGCATAACATTTTCTTACTCATTGTGAATATTGGTTCGGGAACTAAGGGTTACTAAATTGAGCAGGACCATTGCTTATACCAA